ATGGCAGGGAAGTGCATGCTAAGAGAATCCTTACCCATGCCAGTAAGTATAGAATCAGGGCGTGGCAGGATTCTTGGATTAATTAATCTTGAGCAAAAGTGTATAATTTTGTCTCTCTGATGCAAGAAACCTTCCCCCCTCCCTCCTTTCCCTTCTTCCTCCCCCTTCTTTTTGGAATTTGGATCTCTCCGTGTTGGTCTCCAGACGTGGTTTACATTTTGCTGGCGTGGACATTTTGCTGATCCCAGATATTTTTTCTTCTTCTTCTTCAAAAAACATTTCCCACTTCCTCTTTTTCTCCTTCCCCCATGTCTTTTATTTTCTCTTCTTTTCTTCTGGTGCCCGGGATCCCACTCTGGGCAAGGCGGAATGTGTGAACAGAATACGGTCTTGCTTCTGCTACCGGGGTGTGAGTGAGGAGTTGGCAAAGAGAGGTCATTGGAAGGGAGGGAGGGTTCCTCAGTTCACCAAAGGGATGTGGGAGTGGAGTAGGGGTGTATTGTTTCAAAGTGTGTGTGGGGGAAGCTGGATTCTTACGAGACGGCTAGGGAGCTACAGCTTCTCTTCCCACTGGATGAAGGATGCAGGAGGGACCCAGGGAGTTGAGAAGAGTCAGGAGAGAAGGCTGATGTCTGGTTCCAGGTTTTAAGAGGGAGCAGAGGGGCTTGTCTTACTCGGCAACTTTGGATCGTGCTGAGTCAACTGCAGGAGTCATGCTCCTCTCCCCTCACTCCCCAGCAGGGGAGCAGACAAAGGCCGAGAAGATACACTGTGGTGGTGGTGGGGGGAGAAATCTGCTGAGGATGGTGGTGGTGGTGGGGAGAAAGGGAAACCCACATCCTGCCCCGAATCAACATCCTTCTCCGATCTGATTTCTTTCCCTCTGCCTCTTCTGTTTCCTTCAAGCGAGTTTGCCCAACTGCGAATACTCTTGTCACATCCGGGCACCCCAATGGTCAGTGAGGGGGAAACAACTGAGTTCAAGAAAAAACAACAGAGTTCAAGAAAAATAACACCAGGGAAGAAGCGTTAATATCCTCTGCACCGGGCAGGGGGTTGGACTAGATCAGGGGTGGCCACACTTGCTCACCTTAAGAGCCACGGAGAATAAACATCAGACGTTTGAGAGCCACAAGACATGAACAAATGTTACATGTTTTTGTTTTAAAATATGCAAAGTTGCTTTTTATTAACATTGTAAATGAGACTGCCAACAATAAAAGGGGTAAAACCAGATACTGATAGTGATATTTATCTGTCCAGTTATATTTATTTGTTTGCTAATGATATTTGTCTAAGAGAGAGAGAGAGGTGGAAAGAAAGAATGAAAGGTGGAAAGAGCGAGAGAGAAACAGAGAAAGCAAATAGATGGGAGGGAGGGGAAAGGAAGGAAGGAAGAGAGGGAGGGAGGGAGAAAAAGTATGCCTCCTCTTCACTTCCCCAGCTGCCCTGCCGGGAGCTGCACAATACGTGTGAAAGAGCCGCATGTGGCTTCCAAGCTGCAGTTTGGCCACCGCTGGACTATTTATTTATTTATTCCACATGGGCTCAGGGCGGCTAACAAGAGGCAATTGCCATACATAACACTAAAACCAGATAAAACAATCTATTATATTTACATTTAAAATCGGTGCTCATAACAATATGTCATCCAAGACGGGACTCCAATGCAATGTTTCAGAGGATCTACTGTCTCTTCTTGATCGGTCTGCACTATGTCCGTTCTTCATTCCCAAGGCCAGTTCGCATTGCCAGAAATGGCAGCGCGGTGGTGGTACAGTGATGGTGGCAGCTCCTACTCAAAAGCCTGGTGGAAGAGCTCCGTCTTGCAGGCCCTGTGCATAAGGTCCCGCAGGGCCCTGATCTCCTCTGGGAGCTCGTTCCACCAGATAGGAGCCGCCACCGAAAAAGCCCTGGCCCTAGTTGCAGCATATTTGACATCTCTAGGGGCTGGGACAACCAAAAGATGTTTTGCCCCCGACCGTAGTGCCCTTGGGGGAACATATGGGGAAAGGCGGCCCCTTCGGTAAGCTGGACCCTGGTCTGCAATGCTCCCGCGAAGGTGCGGAGTCTTGTGAGCGAAAATTCCACTTTGTGAGCTACTGGCCTTAAAGGTGTGAGCCAGCGATTTGGCTACCGCATAAATTAGTTCGCTCTGGAGCCCTCCTTCCTGAGCCAAGACAAAAACCTGTGCGCTGGAGGCTAAAAAACTGTGAGCTGGCTCACACTAACTCAGCTTAGAGGGAACATGGATGGTCTGTATGGCCCCTTCCAACTCTATGATTCTACGATTCACTCCCCCCCCCATCTAGATTCACCCCTCCCTTGGCTGTTCAACGTTTTTAAAAACCTGCAAGAGCTGCAATCGCAGATCTCCGTCTATTTCGGCCCTAAAGCAGGGGTGGCCAGACTTGCTTAACGTAAGAGCCACATAGACTAAACATCAGATGTTTGAGAGCCACAAGACACGAAAAAATATCACACACACATTTTTACTGAAAAATAGGCAGATTTGCTTTTTATTAACATTAAATGAGACTGCCAAAAACAAAAACAAAAGGGGTTAAAAAAAGGTACTGATAATGATATTTATTTGTCGAATGATATTTATTTGTTTGCTAATGATGTTTATTTGTCTAAGAAAGAGAGGTGGAAAGAAAGAGTGAAAGAAGTGTAAAGAAAGAAAGAACGAAGGAAAGCAAATAGATGGGGGAGGGAGGGAGGGGGAAGGATGAGAAAGAGAGGAAAAGAAAGGTGGAAAGAAAGTGAAAAGAAAGCAAATAGAAGGGGAGGGAGGGAGAGGTGGAGAGAAAGCAACTTTAACTTCAAATACGCCCTCCAAGCCACGCCCCCACACCGGATGGCTTGGCGAAGGGGTTTAAAGAGACAAACGCCTTCTCTAAACTGGCTGGTGGGGCAGGGCTTTGAGAATGCATTTAAAGTTGCTTTTGTCCTCTGCTTCCCCCACCTCAAGGGAAGAGGAACACTGGCTGGGGGAGGGAAGACCGATCGGGGAGGGATGCCTTCCCTTCGCTTCCCCAGCCGCCCTGCCGAGGGCTGCACAAGACGTGTGAAAGAGCCGCGTGTGGCTCCCGAGCCCCAGTTTGGCCACCCCTACCCGAAAGCAATAGCCTAAGTCAGGGCCCCCCAATTTTATGGGCACCTTGCTGCCCACCATCACCTTTCCAGGTGCCTGCCAAGTGGTTTTAGAAAACGGGCAGGGCCAAGTTGGGCATTTGTCCAGCAGGGCTACTGATGAGCCGCGGCAGCCATTTTGTGGCTTGCTGTGTCAGAAGTCCAAAGGTACCCACAGGCTCAGAAAGGCTGGAGACCCCTGAACTAAGGCCACACTGCCCCAGAGGTGCCCAACCCCTACACTGGGGCAAACTCCACAATGCAACTAAAGCTGCCATCTGTTTGCCTCTCAAGAAGGAATTTACTGAGGAAAGGCAGAGGAATTCCTTCCTGAGATTCGCTCTAAGTACAAATATCTGTCTGTAAGGCAGAGACTAGAACACAGGGCTATGTGCAAACCACTTATTTATTTGGCTCGCCCTACCTCCAGAGTAGATCTGACCACCCAAATGCTTCCTTAGAGAGTTTTTTTTAAATGTGTGCTGCTGTGGAAATATATGCTCAGGCTAGGGCTTTGGCGGATCTCCAGGGGAAAGCAGCTGCCCTGAAGCGGAGCCATCCAACTTTTCCGAGGCCGCTTGCCAAAACAGCCCAAGAACCCGCTTAGGAAAGCTCGCTTGAATAAACACTTTGTAATCCTTTGCATTGTTCAACTTGCTTCTATGAACGACCTGGGAAGATTCAGCCCAGGAGGAAGGTCTGGCAGCCGGCCTTGCCTCTTCTCAACCATTCCCACACCTCTGGAAGCCGAGCCAGAGGAGAACCCAGGAGTCCTGGCTCCCAGCTCCCTTGTTCTGGCGTCCGCTCCCGGAGCCAGCGAGAGACTCCAAGATTCCTAAGGCGACGGCCTCGTCACTCCTGGGGCTGGCAAAGGGAAACCCGGAGTTTCTGATTTGTGTCCCAGCCATCAGCCTTACCTCCCTACAGCTGTTGGGGAAAGAGGCCCTGAAATTGGGGTATCAGCCCTCTGACTTGGACTCTTGATCCTTTGAGATCTGGGAGGACCCTTCCTTCCTTCCTCCTCCTTTCCTTTCCCTCTGATCCTTCCACTAATGCATTTTCCCACCCTTCTCCTTTCTTTCTTCTGTCTCCACGATCCTCTCATTTCTGTCTTTCTTCACTTTCTGATCTTTTCACCACTGCATTCATTCTTTTGGTGTCGTGGTGAAGTGCGCAGACTCTAACCTGGGAGAACCGGGTTTGATTCCCTACGCCTCCACTTGCAGCTGCTGGATGACCTTGGGCACGCCATCGTTCTCTCAGAGCTGTTCTCTCAGGAGCAGTTCCCGAGAGAGCTCTCTCAGCCCCACCTACCACACAGGGTGCCTGTTGTGGGGAGGGGAAGGGGAAGGAGTTTGTAAGCCGCTCTGAGACTCCGAGTGAAGGGTGGGGTATAAACCCAGTCTCTTCTCTTCTTCTTCACTTTCTTCTCTCTCTGATCCTTTTTTCCCCTGTCTCTCTCCAGTCTCTGATTCTTTCTTTCTTTTTCTCTTTCTTTCTTTTTCTCTTTCTTTCTTTTTCTCTTTCTTTCTTTTTCTCTTTCTTTCTTTCTTTCTTTCTTTCTTTCTTTCTTTCTTTCTTTCTTTCTTTCTTTCTTTCTTTTTCTCTCTCTCTCTCTCTCTTTCCGATCCTCCCTCTCTTTCATTCATCCTTCCCAACTTTTTCTTTCTCCTCTCGCTCTGATCCCCCCCCAAATCTCTCCGTCCCGGCCGCTCCCCGTCTCCTCCTCCTGCTCCTCCAGGCAGGAGGGGCCGGGCCTTCCCCCCTCCCCTCCCCTCCCCTCCCCTCCGCCGGCGGCGGCAGGGCAGGGGGCGGGAGTTTCCCTGGCTCTTCCCCCCACCCCCACCCCCCGTTCCCTCCTTGGCCTCCTTCCTCCCTGCAACCCTCTAATTGGAGCCAGACCCCGCGCCGACCACGTCTCCAGTTTGGGCAGAGGGGGGGACGCGGGGAAGAGACGGGCCGGAGGAGGGACCGGGGCACGGGCGGAAACTGAGCCCAGCGGCCGGCCGCTTTCGCGCGAGGGGGGACGCGGCGCCCGAGCCAGCCAGCCTGCCAGCCAGCCTGCCAGCCAGCCAGCCTCGGGGCCCGGCGGAGGCGAGATGTGTCCGTGGGCCGCCCTCCTGCGCCTGCTGCCCGTCGCCCTGGCCTTGGGCGCCCTCCTGCAGCCCGGCTTCTCCAGCCCCCGCTTCAGCCCGGAGGTGAGTGGCTCCGCTCTTGCCCGGGCAGCCGTCGAGCCCTCTCCCGACCGCCGATCTGCTTCCCCCGCCTCCGATCTGCCGGGCTCTCCGCTCCGGGCCGTGCCCAACTCGTGCGCCCTGCAGAGGCGCGCGTTCCTTGCCAGCCGGAGCGCACTTTGCGCGCCCGCGCCGTCGGGTCTCTCGGGCCCCTTCGCGCCGCCCACCGCGCCTCTGCGCCCCTTCTCCGGCCACCCTCTCCGGGGCTTCCCTCCGCCTGCAGGGTCCCCCCTTTCCCAGGAATGGAGGCCTTTTAGGAAGCTTCGCGCCCTCGCCCCTGCCTTCGCCTCGCCGACACCCGTGCGTGTTCCGGGTTCCTTCCCACCTTCCCTCCACCTTTGTTCCCCCCCCCTTCCTCCTGTGCATTCCGCTCCCATCTGCCCTTTCCCGCTGCACCCCTCCCTTGCTCTCTCTGCCATTCTCGCTGCTTTGTTTCCCCCTCTCCCCTCTCCTTTTTTTTTTCCTCCCTGGGATGTGTTCTGCAGCTGCCGGGGGACCTGCCAAGGCATTTTCGGTTCCATCCCTTCTTTTGCCAAATTTCCCCCCATTCCCTCGGCCCTCGCTCGCCTGCGCCGATGGCTCCGTTGCATTGCAATTGCAATTGCAGTTCCGTCTCCCCCTTCGCCCTTCTCAAAAGGGAGGCCTGGAAACTTCAAGCCCCGGCCAAACTCACTTCGGCTAACTTCAAGCCCCGGCCAAACGAACCCATTCGTTCCCTCTCTGCTGGTGGACTCTTTAGGCCTTTAGGGCGAACAGCAATGTTCCCTCTAAGCTGTGAAGTCCTGGGAGCAAAAATTCTACTTTGTGAGTTACTGGCAATACAGTTGTGAGCAAGTAATTTGGCTGTTGCATAAATTAGTTTGCTCTAGAGCCATCCCTCCTGAGCTAAGATAAAAATGTGTGAGCTGGAGGCTAAAAAACAGTGAGCTAGCTCACACTAACTCAGCTTAGAGGGAACAGTGGCGAACAGGATCACAGTTGCAGCTTCCCCAACCTGAAAACCCTCTTTCGCCTTTGCACCTTTCAGTGTCTTTTGCATAGTGTCTGTTCCGCCCTACCAAAACTTAAGATTGCTGTCCCCCTTCTTTCTTTCTGCACCTTCCCTTCCTTGGTCCCAAACAATGCCCTCTCGAGGCTGTGGAGTCTTGTGAGCAAACATTTCTGCTTTGTGAGCAAATGGCTTTAAAGTTGTGAGCCAGCGATTTGGCTGCTGTATCAATTATTTTGCTCTGGAGCAATGCTCCCTCTAAGCTGTGGAATCTTGCGAGCAAAAAATCTACTCTGTGCGCTACTGGCATGAAAGTTGTGAGCGAGCGATTTGGCTGCTGTATAAATTAGTTTGCTCTGGAGCCATCCTTCCTGAGCGAAGACAAAAATGTGTGAGGCGGAGGCTAAAAAACTGTGAGCTAGCTCACACTGACTCAGCTTAGAGGGAACACCGCTCTGGAGCCATCCTTCCTGAGCGAAGACGAAAATGTGTGAGGCGGAGGCTAAAAAACTGTCAGCTAGCTCACACTAACTCAGCTTAGAGGGAACACTGCTCTGTAGCCCTCTCTTGGAGTGGCTTTAGTTTCTGTGGTCCCCTTCCATTCAATGCCTTTCGTTGAAGCCCTCTTTTGTACTATCTTCCTTCCTTCCTTCCTTCCTTCCTTCCTTCCTTCCTTCCTTCCTTCTTCCTTCCTTCCTTCCTTCCTCAACCCACACATGTCCTTTCCTCTGGCTGATATCTGGTTAGCCATCTTTTGGGGGGGGAGTTTGGTTTGAATGAGGGGTTTCTGCTCCATGCATTCTCCTCCCACTCTGGTGGTGTTCCCAAGACCATCGAAACCGATTTGACCAGAAGTTACGGGGATTCAAAAGAGGAGCCACCGAAACTCCGCTTTTCCGTTCTTTCACAAAGGATGGCCTGTTAAACCACCCTGGCTGTGCATCCGTCTATCCGCTTGGCATCACAGGCCTCCCAACCTCTTTCTCATCTGCATCTTCTCCCGCTCATCCTTACAAATCTCTGTCTGCCCAATCCCCCCCCCCCCCCACTGATCACGCCGCTCAGGTTACGCAATCATTCCTTGAAAGATGAAAACAAACCCTTCCCCCTAGCTCAACCTCTGTCCTGGCTCTGACCAATTCCGGGTATCTGTTATTGCTGCATTTTTTTTCTTTTTGCCCTCCCACATTGCTTCCCGGTCCAAGAATTTCACCTTTTGCTACTGTGGAAACTATTGCAGCAGCCAAGGAGTTCTGGGGGTGGGATGGGGGAGTGGCGTGAAGGTTTTATTTAGGGGGAACGTTTTAATCGACATCAAAAAGTCTTTGAGGAACAGAGAAATCTGTTGCCTCAAGGGTGGTTGGAAGAAAGGACCCAAAGATGCTGAGAATAAGACGACACCCAAGATGTTTGGGCGGGGAGGTGTTTGGTAAACTGGCAGGGAGGTGTTTGGTGGAAGAATGACCGTAATGGTTAGAGTGTTGGACTAGGGTCTGGGAGGGCCCACATTTGAATCCCCACTCTGCCGTGGAAGCTTGCTGGGTGAGCTTGAGCCACTGACGGCCGCTCTGCCCAACCTACCTCACAGGGTTGTTGGGAAAATAAAATGGAGGAGAGGAGAACCGGGTAAGCCGCTTTGGGGAGAAAAATGGGCTATAAATGGAGAAAAATTAATAAATAAACGTGGATTAAGAAGACAAGAGTGTATGGACGAACCTTCGCAGCAATGGCAAATTTTCATGTGAGTGTTGCCAATGAATTGGAAAAGAAGAAGAAGAAGAAGGAAATGGTTCAGAATGGAAGGTGAGAGCAAGGAAGGGCTGATGGAAATGGCCGTTGCTCCATCCCCCTGGTAAAGGTAAAGGTTCCTTTGCTCGAAAGCCAGTCGAATCCGACTCTAGGGTTGCGGTGCTCATCTCCGTTTCAAAGCCGAAGAGCCAGCGCTGTCCGAAGACGTTTCCGTGGTCATGTGGCCGGCATGACTAAACACCAAGGCGCACGGAACGCTGTTCCCTTCCCACCGAAGTGGTACCTACCGGTATTTATCTACTTGCAGTTTCTTGCTTTCGAACGGCTAGGTTGACGGGAGCTCACTCCGTCATGCGGCAACCCGGGTCTCGAACTGCTGAACTACAGACCTTCCACAGCCTGCAGTTCAGCGACTTAACCACTTGAGCCACCGCAGCTCCTAGCCCATCCCCCTGATGCAGGGACAATTCCTGGATCCTTAGTCAACTGAGGTCCCAGTAGAAGGACTGAATGAGCAAGGGTTAAACGAATGCTCGGAATGAGGATGTGGGCGAACAGACAAAAGGGAGCCTTGTGTGAACTCTCCAGGCCGCCCCATTGGACAAGACGATGCCTGAGAATTAACTCTAGGAAGGCTTTGGCCTAGGGTGAAACGCCAGAGCAGGGCAGGACGGTTACCGTACCCAGGCTGCGTGGGCGACGGGTTTGTTTGTGTTTCTTCCTCTTCCAAGGGATATTTTTGGGACCTCATGGATGACACATGAGGTGGACTGTTTTTAGGGCACGCTCCGAGCGGGAGAAAGGGAGAGCGGAAAAAAGCAGGGGCCCTGGGGCCTTTTTAAAATCCTGACGTTGGCGGAGGGGCAAGAAAGGAGGGAAGAAAAGAGAGGCGGAGAAACAATTGGCAGTGCCGGAGGCTACAGAAACTTGTCAAGTTTCTTGACGCGACCAAGTGGCCTGTTCTACCCTCCCTGTTTTGTTTCTACCCTGGGGTTGTATGCTCTTTCTCTGAAAGCAGGAAGCAAGATGTTCATTTACAGAATAAAATATTTATTTTACAAAAAACGTGGGAATTTTTCAAAAGAACAAACAAAAAGATTTAAAATTCCCCCCTTCCGCCCATCTACTTGATTGATTCTCTAAAGTAAGGGCAAATCAGGGCACAGTTAAGGATATTTAAGGGCACATGAAGGTTTTTGTTTTTTTGAGGATGTTGTATTGCTTTTAATAGAAAACGAGAATTATTTTTAATAGAAAACGAGAATCATTTGGAATACTGTGTGCCCCTCTAACAGTGAGTGGCCATTCTGGAGGATTGAACTGGAAGTTATCTCACTCCTTCTTCAATAACCTCTGTGTTCTTGGAAGCCCACAATCGGACAGGAAGACAAGAGTGCTCCTTTCTTGCTTGCTCAGTGGTAACTGGCATTCAGAGGTATAGTGCATCTAAACCTGGAGGTTCCATTTAGGTACTGTGATCAAGAGGCATCGTTAGAACTCTCCTCCCAGAATTCGTCCAGTCTTCTTTTAAATCCTTGCAAGCCGCTGTCCGTCTTGTGCCTGCCAGTTCCATAAGGTGATGGCACATCATGCAAAGAAGTATTTTATGATTTATTGATTTATCTGTTAAATGTCTACCCTGCCTTTCCCCGGAGCCTCAAGGCTTACAGCAGTTTCTCCAGTGTCTGTCCCAAAAGGGCATACAAACGTAAAAGAGAAAGAGGGAGGTGAAAGTTTCTCTGTCGCTAAATGGAACCTCCATGTGTAGAGGCAGTATATCTCTGAATAACATGCTAGACGCAAAGAACGGGAAAAAGACATCACCTGCGTGCCCTACGTCTGTGGGGCACCTGGTTGGAGATGGAGTGCTGAGTTTAAGTGGTGCCTCTGAACTGATCCACCAGCCTTCTTAGGGGGAAACAGTTGCTTTTTGCAGATTTCCTGATCTCAAAGGGTTAAAGAGTCTCCCTTTCCAGCTCTTGTCCTCCCCCAGCCTTCATTTCCTTTGATTTCTGCCTGGGAGCAACACCCCTCTTGAATCACCTGATGTTACATAAGGAGAACACCTCTTTGATCTGCCATGCGTGTTCCTCCTGAGCCACAGTTCCTTCTAGCCCTTCCCTCCCTCCAACCTCCCCAACTACTTTGACTCTTTTCATGAGACTTCAGTCCTGCCCCATCACTACATCCTCTGCCCTACCCCACTCTGCTGCACCTACCGGAGATGAAGAACTTTCCCAAGGCTTGGTCGACGGACTCTCAATCTCCACCCCAGGGTCGTCTCTCCAGACCAGGAAATGACTGCAGACAGAATGAATCACTGAAAAAGATCAAGGGGAAGGAGAGACCTGCGCGAATGGGGACAGGCACAGGGGTGCAAATTGCAGGAAGGAGAACTTCAAGAGATCCGACTGGGATCAGTGGCGCATCAGCTGTGGTTGATTTTAAGAGCGTATGGGGGCAGGGGAAACAGACGGATGTGTGCACGGCCAGAGTATGGGGGAAAAAAGTGGTAAATCGAAATTGTTCAGTATTCCCCAAAATTCTGACAGCTGTCATGAGACATGCAGATCTTACATTCCAGAAGTTTTGCCTTTAGTCTCTGTCAGGGTCAGAGCTCCTGATCGTAAGAGGAGCCCACCTGTTGTGTTTCTGCCTGAGTCCGTGCCCCGATAGTAACGCCGTGGGCAGCTGATTCTGCCTTTAAGAACTACTGGTCCAATCACACCTGATTCAGAAACACGTTAGAAATATTCCCTCCGCATGCAGTGGAGGAATATTGGAAGGAGGCAGTTTCAGAGCAGAGAAACATACAGAGATGCAGCAGGCATCCTCCTCTGTGAAAAAGCGTTTAGGAACCACATGAGCTGCTCAGTGCAATCCTATGCAGATTTACACCCTTCTAAGTAGGCCCATTGCCTTAAATGGACTTGGAAGGGAGCAACTCTGCTCAGGATAGAACTGTTAATTTTATTTTTTTAAATTTGATGGGGCAGTTTCTTGCCACACATTGGTGCTCTCTTTGTGCACTAATTTGGGGATTATTGGAACAGGAGGAAAGACGGATGGACAGACAATGTATAGAAGGATGGGGTGAGTTGAGGGTATGGAGATGGATGGATAGTGTTTGAGGGACGGCGAGTGGGTAGGCAAATTAAGAGAGAAAATAAGGAAAGACAGGTGGAAGGAGTGAATCGATGTCCGTAACCTAAGTAGGTGTCCTGATGGATGGGTGTGGGGGTAGGCGCAGAGTGTGTTCAATTTAATGATTAGTGGGGAATTGTGATGGATGGACAGACAGAGGGTTATATATTGGGTGGACCAGAGGAATGGGAAGGCTGATGCGTAAGTACATGCCATTTGTCTGTGCCCCAGCAGTGGCGTGACCCGCGTCCCGGAGGGCACAGAAGCGGCCCACGCAAAGCAAACAGCACAGAGCATAGGGCAGTGTTAGAGCATGGATTCCTCCCCGTGTCTTCCCTCCCTGCCTGCCTCTTTTCACTTGCAGCAGTAAGCCAGTGCCGCTTTCTAACAGTTCTGCGTAATGGGATACTGAGCGCAGTTTGGGCCCTTTTCCATGGCTGATCCCTGCCTCTGACCCAGAAAGCGTTCTGGAAGCCCACTAGGGACATGTCAGGATCAATGCTCCCTCTAAGCTGTGGAGTCTTGTGAGCAAAAATTCTACTTTGTGAGCTACTGGCATTAAAGTTGTGAGCAAGCAATTTGGCTCCTGCATAAATTAGTGTGCTCTGGAGCCCTCCTTCCTGAGCTAAGGCAGAAATGTGTGAACCGGAGGCTACAAAACTGTGAGCCAGCTCACACTAACTCAGCTTAGAGGGAACACTGGTCAGGATATTAAAATGGCTATGGACCAAGTGGCCTTTGTGGAACAGGCAGTGCCACACAGTCTGCTTGGACCCAGGTTTTGGAGGCAATGACAGCGAGCGTTGGCTCATCCATGGGCAAACCTACAAGGTTGCTTAGTTCAACTTGCTCATAGCCACCACAGGTAATTCAGGGCACTGGCTGTCTAGGAACTGTCCTTGAATTCACACGCGCTGAATAATGCACCTTCATTCCACTTTCAGTGCGCTTTAGTAATCATTTACAAGTGGACTTTGCTGTTTCACACAGTAAAATCCAGCTTGAAAGTGCTTGAGGGTGGATTGAAAGGGCCTTATTCGGCATGTGTGACCACCATGCTTGCGCACTTGGATCGTCCCCAACATCTTCATGCCTCTGGCTTCATTTCCCAGCAGTACTTAACTTGAACAAGAGTCTGTGGAAAGTAAGAGAACTTGGGAAGGGACTGATTTCTGGAAGATCCGGAGAGTTGGTCCCAATCCGTGTCTTCCTTCAAAGCTCTTGTTTCTGTACTGTGGTGCTGTACCTGGGCTGTACGAGCAGCAGCTCACATGACCGAATGTTCAAAAACTATAAATACGTTGTGGGTGTTGGTTCTGAACCACAGTTCCTTCTAGCTCCTATCAAGGAGAAGGTTAAACTAACACTCTTTGCCTTGAGATGCTGGCTTTCTACATGGAAGGATTTCTTTTTGTGTGTGTGGAGCAGCATTCAGTCACGGAAGCCCACACAGTAGTCTGAAGTGGTGCAGTCTGTTTTTGCCACCTCAGTAATTAAAAAAAAAGGGACATAAAAAGCAAAGGTGAATCATCTGGAGATGTTTCGTTTGACCCTCAAGCCAACTGTTCTCTGTGGCCTTCCCACTTCCGAGTGTCTGACTGTGGATCTGGTGTCGGCATTTCCTGTCCTCCTACAGTTTGGGCTTCTCACACCCTTGTTCTGACCTTCTCTCCAGGCCTGGCTGCAGCAATATGGCTACCTGCCCCCCGGAGACCTGCGCACGCACACGCAACGCTCCCCCCAGTCGCTCTCGGCCGCCATTGCCGCGATGCAGCGGTTCTACGGGCTCCAGGTGACCGGCACACCAGACTCCGAGACCTTGAAGTAAGTGGCCTCTTTTTCCCGCTCAGATCCTAAGGACAGTCATGCACTCTTTTCGCCGAAAAAGACCATGAGAGGAAGCGTCTTTCAGTTACATCTGAAGCTTTCGCCCGTGGCGAAAACCGGGGATCGTGTAGATGTGATTGAAATTTGTGCGATCCTGTGAAGAGCGGCGATGAGTCTGAGCGTGTCAGTGTCTGCGCATGTGGATTACGCATGTGGTTGGTGCGTGTGGCGTGCTGTCTAATCATGACTTGATGGAGCACTGGGGGGTCTGTGAATGGCTCTCCTGTGTGGATTTGTTGGCAAATGGCAGTCTTGAGGGATCTCTCAGATGGGTCCTGCAGCCCGGCGTGTGGGGGAATTCCACTTTCTCATTGTTTTCCCAGCTCTGTGTTTCTCCAAATGGGGAAAATAGCCGCTTCCGTGTGTCATTCTGAGTTCGGGAAAACAGGGCAAGTGTGTGTGCGTGAGTGTGGGGAGAAATGGTAACCCTCAGCACTGCAAGCCCTGTCTAAATCGGGGGTTCTTCACAGCAACTATTTACCAACACAAAAACTCTTGGAATGGAGACCTTTTCAGGCTCTCCTGGTTTGGCCTTTAATTATATTTATTTAAAAAACATTTATTAACTGCCTTACTACCTTGCAGGAACTCAAGGGAGCTTGCGATGTAAATAATAATAATAAAACATAAAACCACTATTTAAAATCAATAATTTAAAACTGCTGGTAGGCAGAACACTGTCACGAATGGAACTGTCTTCAGCTGCCTCCTGAAGAGCAAGAGTGAGGGGCCTAGGTACACCTCCCTGGGGAGGTTGTTCCATAACTGTGGGGCTGCCACTGAAAAGGCCCTGTCTCATGTATCCACCAGCAATGCTCCCTCCAAGCTGTGGAGTCTTGTGAGCAAAAATTCTACTTTGTGAACGACTGGCATTAAAGTTGTGAGCGAGCGATTTGGCTATTGCATAAATTAGTTTGCTCTGGAGCCATCCTTCCTGGGCTAAGACAAAAATGTGTGAGCCGGAGGCTAAAGAACTGTGAGCTAGCTCACACTCAGGTTAGAGGGAACGCTGCCCACCAGATAGGGTTGCCAGGTCCCTTGGACCTGCCAGCAGGGAATGGGGGGTGAACTTACCAGTAGCGGGGAGGAACGCTGAAAATAAACATGTCTACATTATACGGAAGTGACATAGGGACGTCAGGGGGCGACGCTCTGGGGTTTTTTTTGCAAAACTCTATGGTAGAATTAGCTTCTACCATAGAGTTTTGCCCCAAAACCAGAGTGTCACCCTCCCCCCACATCACTGACATGTTAACATCACTTCCGGGTCATATAGGCATGTTGCATTTATTTCTGGCTTGTTTCCTGTTTAGGGAGGTAATGGGGAAGGTGGAGAGGAGCACCTGAAACTGGGGGACCCATGCCCGCACCAGGGGGTATGGCATCCCTACCACCAGATGATTTTCGGTCAATGGGACAGTTAAGGGTCTCTCCCTGTGAATTCCGTTCCGAAAAGATGAACCTTCAGACACCCCAGTTCAAGCCAAGTAGGGCTTGAAATACCTGTAGTGGGGAGTATTGATAGCTGGTGGTTACCAATCAGGATGCTTGCTTTATCTGAAACGTGACAATAAGTTAGACTTCTTTATTTGAAACTTGACAGCAAGTTACTGCCTTCAGTGGTCGAGCTTTGGTATCAGGCCCATGGCGGGCGGCCATTTTGAGGGATGATGTAAGGGATGGCGGAAGGCTTCCTTGTATGATTGATCTGTGACTAAGTTTGATAGAGAGGACAGAGTTGTGGTGTGGGTGTTTGTCGGCAGGCTTCGTTCCTGACACTTTGTTGGCAAGGGCTGGCCTTGATGAAGTGTCTGGGGACGAAAATGGTTTCCCCCAGCACAGCAGGCCTCTCAGCAATGACAGTCCTTGGCCTCAGGGCAAGAGAATCTTCCAGGAAATGAAGAAGGGCTTCAGCAGGCCAAAGGCCTACGTGCAGCGGCTCTTGAGTGACCCAGAAAATCCCTCAAGGATCCTCCAAAGGCTGGTGACAAGACATTTTGAAACCACCTAAAAGGCCCTGATGTAACCAAGAGCAAGAACGGGTTTGTGGTTGTGTCTGAGAGGATGGACACCTGCTTCCAATTCCCAAAGCTGGCCTGCTGACACCATGGCTGAGCAGCATCCTGTCTTTGGGGGTGGCCTTCGTATTCCAAACAGGGCGAGCGGTGCCTGACATAGTTATGGTTGACCAGTGGGACTCCACACCACAAGACGTTGGCAAGCATTCAAAAGAGGAGGATTTTAAATAAGTCTCCGGAACAGTTTCCGGAGGGAAAAGGGTAGCTCTTCTTCTGGGTCAGTCAGCAAGAGTTGGAGCAGTCCAAAATGTTGACTTTATCTGGTGTGAAGCTAACTGATTGTAAGACGGCCCTGAAGTAAATAGTTAGACATCCCTTGGCCGGTATGAGTGTATGAAGCCAGGCTGTTCATTCACCTAGATCGGCATTTCCTGTTCTGACAGGAAGTCCTGCTTTGGGGTCCCATGTAGGGGGTCCCTAAAACCAAACTCTAAGCTTTGGAACCGAGTCTTAGTAAGTTATGCTGCTCAAACAGGACACATGGACACGTGAAGCTGCCTTTATACTGAATCAGATCATACGTCCATCAAAGTCAGTATTGTCTACTCGGACTGGAAGTGGCTCATCAGGTTCTCTGAAGGAGATCTTTCACATCACCTAGTACCTCATCCATTAAACTGGGGATGTGGGGGATTGAACGTGGGGTCTTCGGCATGCCAAGCAGATGCTGTACCACTGAGCCACGGCTCCTCCTCCTCAGAAGAAGTAAGCCCTTCATTAAGAAGAAGAGATTTGTTTTATACCCCGCCCTTCACTACCCGAAGGAGTCTCAGAGGGGCTTACAATCTCCTTTCCCTCCCCCTCCCCGCAACAGACACCCTGTGAGCAATGTTCCCTCTAAGCTGTAGAATCTTGTGAGCAAAAATTCTACTTTGTGAGCTACTGGTGTTAAAATTGTGAGCAACTGACCTGGCTACTGCATAAATTAGTTGCTCCGGAGCCATCCTTCCTGAGCTAAGACAAAAATGCGTGAGACGGAGGCCAAGAAATTGTGAGCTAGCTCACACTAACTCAGCTTAGAGGGAACAGTGCCTGTGAGGTAGGTGGGGCTGAGAGAGCTCTTTCAAGAACTGCCCTTGAGAGAACAGCTCTGAAAGGACTTGTGACTGACCCAAGGTCACACCAGCAGCTTCATGTGGAGGAATGGGGAATCAAAGCCGGTTCTCCCAGATTAGAGTCTGCTCTCCTAACCGTTACACCAAACTGGTGTGCTAGCCAGACTAAACACAGGCTTCTGAGTCACATAGAACTCTTTGATAGGCTTTACAAAGATATCTGTCTGTCCGTCTCACAAAGCAATCCCCCATCTAGTTGCCATAAAGCAGGGACTATCCAGGGACTGCCCATTATTTTAGAAACGTTTAATCCCACCCTCCCTGGTCACAATTTCTTACTCATGGTATCTGCCTCCTGTGTTGCTAGAAATGTGACTGCGTGTCTAGAGACTCGTGTTACACAGAAAGGGCAGGATGCGGTATGTGAGTTTGTGCGAGGAGAGCAAAGAGGGACAGACAGCGACGGCAGTGCAGAGATCAAAAAGGAGGAGATGGCACAGCCTTGGCAGAGGACGGTCCCATGCTCGACGTGCGAAATGCTTGTACTGGGAAAGCGAGTGTGTCTGTCGCCCCTCTCCCCTCCGTCAGTATTACCTCTTCCCTTGGCATGTTTTGTGAACAACACTCACCCCCCGCCCCCCGCTTCCCACCCCTGATCAGCTCACAGTACCTCTACGTTAACCTCTGGCAGCTTCTACCAGAAGGTCTCTAGTGCTAGTGTCATTGAAATAAATAGGTGCCATGTGAAAGTCCTAGGCAGGGGTCATTTCCTGCGGGAGCGCACAGGAGCAGAGCTCCGGCAGTAAGGAGCCCAGGGGGCGGGCACATGCATCAAGCCCCGCTCCCTGCTCGCAGTAGCCCTCAGTCGGGCCACAAGGAGCAAGAAGCAGCCAGGAAAGTTGCAGAGCCCCCCCCGACCACCCCCACCTCACCTCCACTGCACTCACACA